GTCAAAAGGTACTAATTAATGATTGTTGTAATATAATGATTGATGTAATATACACCACCCATGTCACCCATATATCACAATAAGTGGTGTTTTAGGAAAAAAAAAAGTATTTTTGATAATGTGTTACATTTTTCAATGCAAAATTCAATTTTCATTGTTTGTGATAATTTATAAAATGAGAGGTAGATAACTAATTTCTTGGAGAGACATAATTGATTGTTGATTTCAATAGGTGGGAAAAAACTAATAAATTTCGTATATAATTAGTCACTAAATTTTGACTTACGCTAAGTGTGAGATTAAGTACTTTAATATATTTTTTAATTGATCTTAATATTTAGATTTGTATTATAATATTGAAAAATTTATAAAATTATATATATTGTGCATAAATATAATAAATTCAAATTTTGATCAAACAGTTTTGATGTCATATGTTTTGATTAACTTAGCATTAAAATATTAAAACTAATACAAATATTATTTATTTCAATTAATTTGAAGTGTAAATTAATTTTTATGATTTGTGTAAATTATAGAACATGCGATAAATCAAATAAATTTTTAGATTTATATGAATTTGTCGGACATAACAAACAAAAAATAGATGTTTTCCAATAATAAAATCTAAAAATATTTGTAAGTGTAGTTATCATAAATAATGTTGTTACAAATATAATAATGAAAAACTTCTTAATATATCATTTTTTTTCAAAAATATATTGTAAGTTTAAATATTACATTTAGTTAAACTTCAATCTGTAGAACATGTATTAATGGATTTATGTTATAAAATTAATAAAAACATGTAAATTTTTACCATGTCATATAGTTTTAATAAAAATATTTTCATTGTTTAATTTGAATGACATGTTCCTTAAAAACCTTATTAAATAACACATATGATTTTTTGGTCAAATATCTACTCAATGATATATAGAGGATTAGTGACAGTTTTGAAAAAAATTCTAATTGATGGTATTTTTGATTAATATTGAAAAGTGGCATTTCTCAAAAATTATATATATTTACTAAGTGTCATGCAAATTAATTTTTGTAAGATAAAATATGAGATATATATATCATTTGATTTTTGTTCTTTTTTACTTTTTCCAGTGTATTAAAAAATATTTAATTTTGTTTTTGAATATTCTAATTCTGCGTTTGACGTGGGTCAAAAAATCTTATAGTTAGTATTATTGAAAATAAAATAAG